GAAAGACTTTGCTGGATGTGAATGAGCAGAATTCACAGCCAATTAATGAAACGGTTTTTTGTCAGGACCAGGAATTGGCTTCAGGCTCTCGGGAAACCCCGGTCAGAACATAACCTCCCTTAAGGAGCTCTTGTCAAACAATACGTCCAAAGTGCTTCCAGCATTTTAAAATCCCGATCTAACGCTTCTTCTTAAACTGCTTGTTTTCCATAGGGATCAGTATTCCAAGATGATCGCCGAACAAGAAAACCTCGGCAAGGTAGGAGTGGCGTAAACACGATTGGTTTCTCTTTTGGACCAAGGCCGTCCAAACTTGACCCGTGTGGACTTCAACTCCCAGAATCCCCCAGCCAGCCTCCCCAGGAGTTGGAGTCTTCACATGAGCCACATTGGACCCCCCCTAGTTTATACAAATGCCTAGTAGGCCCTTCTCCTAAAAACCGTTCGGATTTAGACTCAGGGAAGTCGCCTTCTGGAAATAAACCACACAAACCGTTGCAAAGTCAGCTTCCTACAGATGTGGCCTGAGCCAATGGACCATCACTTGCCACAAGGCCTCTTCAGCACAAAAGCTCAGAGAGAAGACGCTGTTTTGCCAGATACCGTGGCACACACAGCAGTTGGCCGCAGAGAAACACGGTATTTAGTGGCCGCGCTGTCCTATTTTTACAAAAAGGACCCGCAATCCATTTCCTATCCCCGCTTCCTTGGCAGTTGGCAGTGTAGAAAGAGTTTGTTTTTCCAACCAAGGGTCTTTTGGATGTTCTTACAAACGGTTCACCTCCGTGTTGCTCTTCCCGAGGAGAAAAGTTGTTTTAAGAAAAAGTTTTAAGACGGTCTCGAATTTCCAAAACATGATATTAATCCGCTGTGCGGTCTTCAGCCGAGATATTATCTAAACTTTTTCAGATGTTTAAACAGTTTTTTTTAAAAGAAAAGATAAACGAAAGGAAAGCCCAAAAGAATAAAGGAATGAAGATTATTTGGAAGGGCTTACATAGCTTTTAAACTCTGTTTTGGCTCTGGGGTTGAAAGGAGTATTTCATTCCATTTTGAAGCAACGTAGTTAGCTGCCGAAGATTTCTGAATGGAGGCACATGGGGACGGTAAGTAAATAAACCCACGGATCAGGGCCCCTCCCGGAGGGGTGCGCTGGCCTAGAGGCGGAGCTCTCGCCTCACAATAAGGAGGCTGTCAGTTCGATCCCAGGTAGAGGCAGATATTTCTCTCTCTGGGCACAATGAGAATTTATCTGCGGAACAAAACTCTGCTCTGGCAACAGGAAAGGCATCTGGCCAGTAAACACGCAGCTCCATTCAGTTGTCCAGACTCCACCCCACAAGGGATTCTAGGGTCGTTAAAAGAGATGATTATCAGGACCCCTCCCTAAACAGCATCTCTCTCTCCCTTTCTCCCTCTCTCTCTCTCCCCCTCTCTTTCTCTCTCCTCTCTCTTTCTCACTCTCTCCTCTCTCTTTCTTTCTCTCACTCTCCTCACTCACTCTCATCTCTCTTTCTCACTCTCTCTTTTTTCTCTCACTCTTTCTCCTCTCTCACTCCACTTTTTCTCACACACACACTCTCCCCTCTCCTCTTTCTCATTCTCT